AGTTTGTCAAATGGTTTGAAGCTTTGGCCAAATATTCTTTTAGTGGAGCAATTTTTTATTCATATTTTTGTTTGGAGGCCTCTGAATACCCATAAAAAAATGCTGCCCATTTGGACTGAGAAATCTTATTCCCTTTCTTTTATATGGAACCTTTGAAATGAACAATTTGTTAAGTCCAGTGCTCCCTAGGGTACCCACTAAAGGCCTAAATCATAATCACATCATTGGGAAAGATAGATAAAGGAATTAGGACTGTAATGAGAGTAAATATAAAGAGCAACAATTTCCCTAGAAAAGGAGATTTGGATTTACATGAGCCTCTGAGAGCTGGCAATAGTTGGTACAAAGAAAATGCTGTGCATCTCATCTGTCAGGTCCCCAAACTGATGACTGGTTGCCTCCAAACACAGACCCAATAACCTGCACCCCCAGGCAAGTAGAATACCAGAAAGAATGTTCTCTCTGAATGAAAAAATAAAAAATAAAGCTCCAAGGACTAAAACTGGAGATGGAAGAAGAATATCATCAAGTTTTATTAGTGACCTACAACAAAGGTTAACCAAATGGACAGTAATGATAACTACAGAGTCACGGGTCTGCAGACAGCTGTGACAACAGGCTGATAAGGCATATGCCTGTGTTCTACCCAGAGATTCTCCTTCTTATGACAGATAACACTTTCAGACAGCACATTAAAAAAAATGGTAACACCAATACAGCAAAGGGGAATAAAAAGAATTTCTTGATTCTACTAAAAAAAGGGGCGGAGGGGAGGACTGATAACAACAGCTGGGAGCAGATCTGAGAATAAATAACCAACTCAACACTAAGAGAGTGGAGGGTAGATCTGGTGCAGACTTACCACATTGTTGTGGACTTGACAAGAGGTGAACATCAAAGCTCAAGGGCTTCTCTACCTGCATGAAGACAGGAGTCCATGCTCATGGTCAGTGGAAACTGTATCTTAGTGGAACCTCCAAGAAAACTATGGAAATAAATGAAGATCACATCAATGAAAACAAGCAAATGCTATTTACTTAGAGCTTGCTATGGGAAGCGAGTCACCACCATCACTTGAGTTTGGCAGAAACTCAAATGCGTGTAGGGTAGTGAGAAAGATCCAATGCAGGGGCGGGGAACATCAGCCCATGGATTGGATAAGACCCACAAAATCATTTGATTTGGCTCAGCCAAGGCACTAGGGTTGAGTTAATTAAATGTTTGACCAAATATAGCAGGCTGATTTTTAATTTGATAATTTTTTATAGACCACGAATGATGTTGTAAACATCTAAATTGCTCTTGGGGGGGGAAAAAGAAAGAAAGAAAGAAAAAAGGTTTCCCACCCCTGTTCTAGTGGGAAAAAGGAAAAGTTTTAGATGGGCCATAGCTAGAGGCTATTGGTATGAGAAGCTGAAAGCAGGCTAACTAGAAGTGGGCCATCCAATATAATTTGTTAGGAATACATATTTGGCATTCTATGGTCAATCCTAAATTAAAAGTAGGGGGGAAAATTAGGGAAGCTGGCAATTACTGACCAGGACCTGATTTGGGGCTGATGTTGTGGATGGGCTCTTAGACTGCTAGCTATAGATTATGTGTGTCAGAGTTTTATTTGTATATATATAATCTTGTCATTGCCTGTTTGTATATTCAATCTCTCACCGTTCACTGAAGTTTTTGAAGTTATGATGTTGACTGTTTTGGTGATGTGGTCCAAAGAGTTGGTTATGTCTCCAGTCAGGGCATGGGTGATCTGAGAATTTCACCAGACTTTCTCAGTAGTCCAAACAGCAGTTTATCCAATGAAAGAGCTATACCATGAATGATCAGCTGAAATGATGAGTCCTAGTAGTAGGCTTATAACAAGTCCTCAGGCTTGAATTTGCAATGAGTCTTCAGTCTCAGGGGGCAAGGACAGTTACAGGCAATCTTAGAGTCTCAGTAAGAATCTGGCAATCAGATTTTAGTTCTCAGTGACTCCAAGTCAAGAAGAAGGGAGAAAGAATGGAAATATTAGTTTGAAGGCTAAGGTGAGTTTGTAGCTAGATTTGAGGGTTCTGAAAGAGCTGAAAATCTGGTAAGGATTGACAATCTGTGCAAGGTGGGTGAATCCAGTTCAATAACAAACTTTTCCTCAGTGAATGAGAAAGCTTGGTTACTAGATAAGACAAAATCAGTCAAAAGCAATTACAGAAAGGTGCAACATAGCTCAAAGACAATGATGAGGATCAGAATCTGATCATCCAGAAGAGTCAGCTATAGTTTCCCATTGAAACAAAATTTCTCTCCACAGTCTCTCTTCTCCTCTGGTCAAACACAATCTCAAAGAAAAGTTATTATTCTTGAACACAAAACAAGGCTGGTCTTATTACATGTGGCCTACTTATTTGCATAGATGCACCAAGAATGGCAATTTACCACATAGGTTTTAGATTCGCTTTGCTGGAAGTTTTCATAAAGAATCTCAGATTGGACTTTTCAAAGCCTCTTGAGGGCAGGAAGCCAAGCCAAGAATTCACCCCCACTTTTCACCTGCAGCACCCAGTGATTGGATGGGAATTCCTCTCTTCCCGAGGTCCCCAAAGTAGCCTCAGATTATCCTGAGCCTGCCAGAAAGTGACCTTCCTCACTCACCTGGAAGGCTGGGAACTCTAGAAGCCAGGGACCAGGCCAGTCTTCCCAAGAGAGACTTGGTAAGCATTGGCCCCCACCAAGTCAACCTTAGTTCCTAGAAGCATCTGGTCATAGCTGATTAAATGAGCATCATTCTCAGATATGACATTATAGGCAAAGCCTTGGTTGCATAATCAATGTTTCCAATTATGGGCCACTTGTTAACAAGGTGGACGGACTCTTACTGAATCTATGCAGATAACTGTATTGCCATGAACTTAAGAGTACTCAATAGGAGTTTCAGAATTGTGAAAAGGTGAATCAGGGTAGAACAGATAAATGTTTCATTTCTGTTTGTTTACAAGAGCACAGTCTACTAAATTGTTATGAGTGATAGATAGCTTAATAGAAAGTGGTTCCTTATACCCAGAGAATAGAACATTAGAGCATCAGCACTATTCCAAACCAAGCCCATATCCATCCATCAGCAGTTCATTCAGTCCTATGCCATCACACCTATCTCACTCTAACTTGGATTAGCAGTCTCATAAATCCATCTTCTTCTCAACTTAGGTTCTGGAAGTCGTGACCGAGTCCACGAATAACCAAAGTTATTTAAGCAATGCCATCAGGAGCCTGTGTGTAAGAGTAGCTGGCATAGTTCTTTCCCATGGGTCTCTGTGACTGTTCTTTTTGGCTGAAGACAAAGCATTGAGGCAGGTAGCTGATCATTTCTCTTTATAAGAGCACCATCTACTAAATTGTTATGAGTGATAGACAGCTTCACAGAAAGCAGTTCCTCATATCCAGAAAATAGAACATTAATGCATCAGCGATATTACAAATGAAGTTCATATTCATCCAGTTTATTCAGTCCATTCAGTCCTAGGCAATCATTTTTTCTTCCACTTGAGCTTGAGTCAATAGTCCAATGAATGCATTTGCTTTCCAGTAGAGGCCTGTAGTTCCTGACTTGATCCACTGGTGTGATTTTATAGTTGCTTAGACAATGCCATCAGAAGCCTGTACCCAAGAGTTCTTAGCATGGTCCTTTTTCAGCAGGTTCTAAGACAGTCTTTCTTTGTTGAAGATGGAACCTTCTGTCCTATAGCTAATTGCATTTGATTTCTTGGAAACATCAGGAGTAAAAAAAAAAAAACACACAAACAAAACTATCTATAGATGTCAGAGGCTAAAAATGGCTATTATTTACTTATTGATGTTTTTCAAAAGGGAATAATCTAAAGAGGGTTTGTTACAATAATGCAATTAATAAGCATATCTGGTGGTTTCCATGGCATGCAAAACAAAGTCAGTCCAAAACAATGTTATACAAAATATCTATAAACACAACATCAAGTCTATTTTTTAAAAAAATTTGGATATTATATCCAGTTTATGAAAATGGAAAAGCATCATCTTCACAGAGAAAACATTTTCAGATATAAACATATAAAAATCCTGAGACATTGGATGCCACCTACAACTAGCACATCGTTAGAATATGAAAAGACTATCAAGATTATCAAGTAAATAGATTCAGCACATCTGGAATTGGTTTTAAACATCAATCTACACTAATAAAAGAGTAAAGGTGGTGCCGGCAGCCAGGGGAAGGAAGGCCCATACTTGCACACATCTTTGTGCATCGGGCCTCTAGAAGATTAATAAAACTCCACAGATAAGAGTTGTGAGTTACAAATAGAAAACTACTAGCCTGCAATATATCAGATTCAAATTAAAGAAGTTACAACCAAGTTAATGTTTTCAATAGTAATTGAAACTATGACTAATAGCACTATGCTGCTTTTGTCGTATGGGCAAAGCAACACAAGGACTTGGATAAATAGAAACAAATCATTTACAGCAAAAACATTGACAATTCTCTGGAACTTTCTGTGAATAAACTTTCTGTGAATATAGAATACAAGTGTTTAAATATTAATGTTAATAACATTTTACCCACACAAATTTAACCGAGGAAAGTCTAAGTGTTTCTTCAGATCTGACAGTATTTTTAATGTAACTCGTCATTGGTAACATATCAAATAGCCCTAAGTATTTCAAATTTTTCTCTTTTCACAAGGGGAAAGAAAAAATTGTGATGATTTTCCAGGATATCTCTTGGGAACCACAAAGACAATTTTAGGTGCTGACAAGGCTAACCAAAATTTGAGCTTGACACAACATTAAGGGGCCTTCAATTCTATGGAAACTTCCTGTACTTGTTTGTTTCATCTTAGGTGCAGACCTGGCCCCTGTGCCTGACCACAACCAACATTTCCATTTCCTGTCTTGACTTTTTGCTAGAATACTTGATGAAGCTTGTTACGTTTCAAAAACCCCCTCCCACCACCATCTTCACCACCGCCCTCCCACCTACGTTCTACAGCTATCTCTGCATTTAAAAGCTTGGTCCACTCATCTCTTCCCTGAGATATTTCTGGCTTAGTCTTTGAGCATCTTTCTATTATAATACTCTTCTGCTCCCACTGCAGTATCATCTTAATGAAGACTTTCATGCTAACATCCAGATTGTATTTTGTCTTTGACAGTAATGATGCCGTGACTCTGATGGAGTATTGACTACCCCTCGAACCCTGGTATTTTTTTCACTCAATGCTGTTTTGTTAGACTCTGTCTTTTCCTGGCTGGGACATCGGGATCAATAATGGTAAGTGAGACCTCCTAACCCAGTGTTCCAAATGTTTGTCTGTTGTAGCATGGTAAAGACTTGACTTTATTTTCCCTTTATTTTTGTCTTTTTTCTTCTCTTTTTCTGTCTTCTTATTCTGCAGCTTTTTTGAGTGTGTTTAAAGCCCCTGATTCTCTCCCTGGAAATTATACCTGGGCTAATGTCCAAAGGCCTTAGTACCAACAGATGTTATCATGGGAGATTACCAGTCTAATTGTTGTCCCTTAGATCTCTTCATTGTAGGGTATGTCCTACATCATTATGGTACTAATTCCACCCATCATTGTAGTACTAATTCTTTAAAAAAAAAAAAAAAAAAAAAAAAAAAAAAAAAAAAAAAAAGAAAGGAAAAATTTTAGTAATGACTATTTAGAATTTCAATGGCCTTTTGAGGAACTTTTTATCTCCTCTGTTGCTTTCCTGGATTTTAGACCATTTGAGTTCATTCTGATCAGAGCTCTAGAATCCCCTGATTCCAAATCTCACCCTAACAATGAACTGCTTTTATTGTTTGGTAGAAAGAAACAGAAAAATATCTCTCCCACAAAAATGTTTCAGAGATGATTGTTTCTCTCAAAGAGCATCCTTCCTCAACAACTTCTAAAACATCTCTTCACATCACTCATCCTTCCAACTTCTCCTTTCTCCTTCTTCCTACCCTTAATCTCCCTTGAACCCTTTGGCCTCTGCCTTCACCACCTCTATACCTCTCCCCCCCCATTCTGTCCACCCTTGCCAGACTTTTCCTTTCTCACTCAAACCCTTCAACCTCCCTATAGTCATTGGAGACTTAAGTCCCTCTAACACTGCTGGGCTCCAGTGGAGCTCAGAGACATAAAGAGCAACAGCCTGAAAACGCTAATAGGAAACAGGCTGGGTAATTTTTACACTCAAATTGACTTTGGGACCCCAGCTGGCTGCGTGGTCTCTCCTCTATTCCTCTCCCAAAAACTAGTCCACAGTCTCCATAGGAAGGTCTGCTCCACAAACTCTGGTAAAGATGCTTTAGCCCTCATATTGAGCAAGTTATTTCAATTTGCCCCATATGCCAGAGATATAGTCATTGTAAAAATGTAAAAACAAACAAACAAACAAACAAACAAAACACACACACAAAAAAACACCCAAATGTAAAAATGAGGAAAGAATGCAAGTCAGCTCTTTTACATGAGACAGTGAGTTTTGTATTTTGGGGTTTATGCTTAAACCATGGCTAAATGTTTAAAATTAAAAAACTAAAGCTGTAAGTTACCTGTCTGTGTTCTATATGTGTGTGCATGTAAGTATGTACATATGAATGTATGTGTAATATTTTCCTATTTACAAATTGCATTACCACATTAAACTACAAAATTATTTTTAAAAGCTTCTTTTTTATTGGCTAACAGATAAATAAAAGGCTACAATTTTTACTATTCTGAAATTCTCAGAGGCTAAGTAAATTAAATTTCTAATATACACTATATGTGTGTGGGGTATTCTTATATAAATGTCCCAAAATGTTTTAAAAATTCAAGCTCACATGATATAAGTACATCTTTGGCAAATGAGAGTAGTTTGATGTTCTTGGTTTAAAAAATACATTTAGGTCTTGTGAGTTAACAATCTTCCAAAAATAAGTTTTTATTCTAATCAGATATGTTTTTCTTAAACTTATACAGCTTTATTAAACCACTTTGTTTTATAACCTAGATATAGTACTGCTTTATTCTAATTATATGCTTGGTAAAATTATGGCATATTATGTTTCAGGATTATTACATCTGACTTTTAAAGGATATGTTCCTCCATATTCATAAATTGGATATAATATCCACTATTCTTTGAAAATGAAATAAACCATCATGTTTATGCTTTTTTAAAAAAAAAAACTTTTGGACTAACCTAAGTATCACATAGGCAAATTTTCTTACCAATTATATTTTTTACAGTGAACTCTCATCACCTTTTCCCTTTTGAAAACTATTGAAAATATTAAGCACGAGCATTTTAAGTCTTTTATCAAATACAGATAGTTTTGTGTTTTACTCGGATGCTTTCCAAAGCATACAGATTAGCTACCTGCTTGAGTTCCTTATCTTCAGCCAAAAAGAACAGTCACAGAGACCCATGGGAAAGAACTATGCCAGCTACTCTTACACACAGGCTCCTGATGGCATTGCTTAAATAACTTTGGTTATTCGTGGACTCGGTCATGATTTCCAGAACCTTAGTTGAGAAGAAGATGGATTTATGAGACTGCTAATCCAAGTTAGAGTGAGACAGGTGTGATGGCATAGGACTGAATGAACTGCTCATGGATGGATATGGGCTTGGTTTGGAATAGTGCTGATGCTCTAATGTTCTATTCTCTGGGTATAAGGAACCACTTTCTATTAAGCTATCTATCACTCATAACAATTTAGTAGACTGTGCTCTTGTAAACAAACAGAAATGAAACATTTATCTGTTCTACCCTGATTCACCTTTTCACAATTCTGAAACTCCTATTGAGTACTCTTAAGTTCATGGCAATACAGTTATCTGCATAGATTCAGTAAGAGTCCGTCCACCTTGTTAACAAGTGGCCCATAATTGGAAACATTGATTATGCAACCAAGGCTTTGCCTATAATGTCATATTTGAGAATGATGCTCATTTAATCAGCTATGACCAGATGCTTCTAGGAACTAAGGTTGACTTGGTGGGGGCCAATGCTTACCAAGTCTCTCTTGGGAAGACTGGCCTGGTCCCTGGCTTCATAGAGTTCCCAGCCTTCCAGGTGAGTGAGGAAGGTCACTTTCTGGCAGGCTCAGGATAATCTGAGGCTACTTTGGGGACCTCGGGAAGAGAGGAATTCCCATCCAATCACTGGGTGCTGCAGGTGAAAAGTGGGGGTGAATTCTTGGCTTGGCTTCCTGCCCTCAAGAGGCTTTGAAAAGTCCAATCTGAGATTCTTTATGAAAACTTCCAGCAAAGCGAATCTAAAACCTATGTGGTAAATTGCCATTCTTGGTGCATCTATGCAAATAACTAGGCCACATGTAATAAGACCAGCCTTGTTTTGTGATCAAGAATAATAACTTTTCTTTGAGATTGTGTTTGACCAGAGGGGAAGAGAGACTGTGGAGAGAAATTTTGCTTCAATGGGAAACTATAGCTGACTCTTCTGCATGATCAGATTTTGATCCTCATCATTGTCTTTGAGCTATGTTGCACCTTTCTGTAAATTTCAGATAATGGATTGATATACAAACTCTGTCTTGTCTGGTAGATACTTGACTGGCTTCCTATCCACTGTGGATAAAGTAGTTTTGATACCTATTCAAAAATTGGATTTGGATCTGTTTATATGGTACACTTTGTGAACTTAGCAAATCTTTCTATTTCCTTCAATATCTGGCTACAACCTTCCAAATTAATCTACCTTTTCTCACTTTCTCTTGACTTTAAGTCACTGAGATCTAAACTCTGACTGCCCATATCCTTACTGGGAGTCTAGATTGCTTTGTGGCAGGCCTTTTCCTCCAGGATTTAAGAAAACACTGCAGGCTAAAGCCTGACCACTTGTTATAAACCTGGGACTCATCACTGCAGTAGACCATGTATGGGCCGATTTCTCCCCTGAAAAGCTGCCGTCTGAGTCACTAAGGAATTCTGGAGAAATGCTCAGACCATGTTTACCTGCATCAGAGTAGTAATTTAGATGCTGGACAACATCCTAATATGATTTACAAAGCTGTGCTTCATAAGTAAATGGTTTCATTCACTTTGCTCTTGAAATTCATTGGTTCAACTTCTGGCTCTTTATTCCTTCCCTTTGTGTTAACATTTCTCTTTTTCATTTTAGGGATCCCACTCTTAAGATGCCTGACCTAACCGACACTGAAATGACTGGCCTTTGAGAACAACCAAAACAAATGTTTCCACCAATTCTCTAGGGACATCACTGAGAAAATGCTGACTCTGAGGACCATTGCACTCAGCCATCCTGTGTTTGAAATATTTCTTATCCCTGTTTTATTCAAGGACAGTTTCTCTGAGCCTGCCTTGAACAAGAAGAGGGACTAGCAAAGCTGATTACACATCAGTAGGTTGCTTTGCTGAGGAGCACTAGGCCCTCAACTCCAGGCAAACTTCCTGCACTTAAGCTTGTTTTCTCCATATCAGTTGCAGAATCCTAACCCCATGAACTTAATCACATATCAACTTTGCTGCGTCAACTTTTCTCTAGTACATTATGTGATGAAGTTAAGTCTAAGGGCTCCTCCCACACACCAGCTTCAGCATTGCATCTCTCTTCTACTTTCCATGGGCACCTATCAATCTACTGCAGGCCTCTGCCTATAAAAGCTTGGCTTACACACATCTTGCCTGAAATTTCTCTGGCTTAGGCTTTGAGTATCTCCTTGTTGCAAAGCTTTTGCTTAATATTGTCTTTCTTTACTCAAGTATAGATTTACATTGTTTTCCTTGTCAACCCAAAAGATATCATTTAGGATTTGATTTTTGGGAGGTGAAGCATAAAAAGTTGTCCAGAAGTTTGAATAGTAGACTCTGTCGGATCATGGATTACTTAGAAACTCTATTTATCTATTTACCCCAAATAATAATACAAATTTTTAAAAGTAGACATAGGCCATACCATGATTATGAAGAACTTCAGCTCTTTAAGTAAAAAACCTTGTCTCATTAATTATCAAGGATGTGATAAAGTCAACACAAAATCTAGGAAAGTACTCTGAGAAGACCCCTACTAGCTGTATTCTAAGTAGATTACTGAAAATGTAAAGAAATATAATTTAAGAAAAAAATTGTCATTTTTAAGAAAGAAAATCCAATTTTAGTTTTTAAACTAAAGCTATTATTTAAAATCTTATACATAAACTCATCAAACTTAACACAGGCTTGAATATAAGAAATCAAACTTCCTTTCCATGAATCAGCTACAACTTTCTCCGTCCAGGCTTTTTTTTCTTTTTTTTTTTTTTAAATATACTGTTCTCTCATCTAGAACACCTAGTCATTTTAATTCAGAATAAAATTATTATACTCTCATCATCTTTCACAAAAGACATTCTGCCCACTTGGCATGGGAAGTTTTCTTTCTCTGCTACTACTGCTCCTATTCACATATGTTTGTAATAATTTTATAACTACAGTCACTTCAATTGCACAGAGAAAACCACTAGGCAGTGCAAGAAAAAAGTTATGCACTGGATACTTGTTGAAATAGCAAAACAGATCTTATTAGACCTCCTGCACTAAGGAGAGGAGACTTTAGTCCAGAACTGAGCTCAATTTCCAATTCGGCAAAGATGGCAGGACATGCAGAGCCAAGGGACGGAGTGAGGAAGCAGTAGATAGAAAATTACCAAGAGGAACTTGATTAGATAACAAGGGCAGGGGAATTCTTTCTAAACTGGCTTAACAGAATTTTTACAGGCCATGGTCTTAGACATTCAAGGCCGGGGATGGGATGAGGGGTTTGATCAGATATTGGGGGGTTGGGGAGGGAACGCTTCTTAAGATTCTTTGCTAAAAATGGATTTAGTAGCCCAAGGTAGAGGTCTAGTCTACAAGAAGACTCATAAGAGCCTGACTAAAGTTTGGTCAAGGGTAAGGTGACCAGACGTCCTGCTTTTGGCGGGACAGTCCTGATCTTTAACAATTTGTCCCGTGTCCCGCGGCATTTTTAAAAAGTCCCAATTTTTGGAAAATCGGGACTTTTTTAAAACGCCGCAGGATGCGGGACAAATTGCCAAAAACGGGATGTCTGGTCACCTTAGTCAAGGGGGAAATCTCTGTAGATAATTTTAAACTATCTTCATACATCAGTATTTTCTAGTAGACTAGTAGAGCTTATAAATATATTTATCATAGCTTTCTATAGCTATAAATAACTTCTTAATGTGGCCAAAATAACATGTGCCTTAACTGACCCAAATATATAACCTCTCTATAGTACATAAAAGTCAGAGCAAAAAGTATGAAAAAAAATTATATTTTATAATTAATGCTTCAGCATTTTATCTTATTTAGATATGTTCTGGGTATCTGATGAGTTAATTAACTCAATTTAGCCATCAGTCCAAAGTTTTAAGTTATCAAAGGATTTTTGAAACTATCTTCAAGCTGATATACTATAGAATATAATTACATTTTAAGTAAAATTTGTCAGAATAATGAATTAACTTGACAAAATACAAATTTCCTTTTTTTATAATCTTAAAATATAATACCTGAAAGGATAGCTTATTAAATCAGCAAATCTTTATAAGTTGAGGAAGAATCAAAATACAGGGTGTTCCAAAATATGGTTACACACTTTTAATGATTATTAATTGATTTATTATTAATCGGTGTTTATTAATAAGTATTAATTAATTAGTTGTTAATACTATTGATTGATATTTATTTATAATTATCAATTAATAGGTAATATTATTAATTCCAATAGGTTAGACCTGAAAATAAACATTGGAATTAATAGTTATTCAAAGGGTGTGTACATTTTGGGGGATACTCTACATATGTTTGTATTATACCCAATGATCATAACTCAGAAGATATAGCTGCTTTTCCAATTAAACCAACTAAAGGCCTAGTGCATGAAATTCATGCACTTGGGGGGTCCCTTAGCCCAGCCTGTGCCCTCTTGCAGTCTGGGAGCCCTCAGGGGATATCAGACTGATGGCTTAGGCCCACTTCAGTCAGATGTCTTTATTGCTGCTGTAGAGATGGGATAGGCTTTGCCACCACTGCTGCATTCACCAGCTCTGAGCCTGGCTTGTGGCTGAGTGGCGCTCCCCCTGTAGGAGTATACTAACTACCAGGGGGCAGCTCCTGTGTTGAGCCTCTGCCCCCTGGTGGTCAGTGTTGAGCCTCTGCCCCCTGGTGGTCAGTGCCATAGCAACTGGTTGTTCCACTGTTTGGTCTATTTGCATATTAGCCTTTTATTATATAGGATAATATTAAATTAATCTCATTTGCCAAAGTTGACCTCTATTATGTAAACTTTAACTTTAGAATTTTTAAGTTAGTGCCTATAAGAATAGTTTTGACACATTAAAAGTACTAGAAATTTAATTTTATTAATATCTGGGAATTTTAGGAATATCCCATTTGTATAAAGCCTTACTTAATTAATCAGAATAGTGCTCTATAAAAATTTTTTATACATTTACACAATGGAATACTATACAGCCATAAAAAGAAGGAACTCTTACACTTTGAAACAGCATGAATGGACCTGAGAATATGAAATAAATGAAATAACTAGTCAAAGAAAGACAAATACCATATGATTTCATTTATATGTGTAATCTAATGAATAAAATAAACTGACATGCAAAATAGAAACAGACTCATAAATACAGAGTACAGACTGACAGCTGTCAGAAGGGAGCTGGAGGGGTAATGGGTGATAAAGGTGTAGAAATTAAGAAAAAACACAAAACACAAAATCCATAGATAGATAATGATCATTACCAGAGAGAAATGGGGGTGAGGAGAGGTAGGAGAGAGTAAAATGGGTAATAAATGGTGATGGAAAGAGACATGACCTGTGGCTGTGACCACACAATACAGTAACAGAAGATGTATTATAGAATTGTACCACTAAGGCTATATAATTCTATTAAGCAACATAATCCCAATAAATTCAATTAAAATTATAATCTAATCTAACTCCTAAAACTAGGAAAATAGTACATACCCAAGACTCATACATATACATCCAGACATAGAGAACTTACGGCTTCAATGCTAAAGTTTTAGGCATAAATCCAGAAATACAAAATTTGCTTTTCATATAAAGAGTTCTTGTCTTCCCAGTGGTTACACATTCTTAATTGATTTGAGTTCAAAATAGGGGGGAAAAAATAAAAAAGAGAAAAAAGTAACAAACTTGATTTTCTGACATGTTTTGTCCAATAGAGATACAATACTTGTAAATCACTTAATTCTTTATAGAGGTTGCCAAATGATCATACTATCAAATAAAAAACACAGCAAATCTAGTACCAAAAATCAACTAAGTATTCCCAGAAAGTCAAAATCAAATCCTTACCATGCTACCAACAGACAAGAGACTGGAACATAGGACCAGGGTCAGAATTCACCTTTACATCCCTAGGTTGCTGTCCGGAATGGAGCACAAAAGGCTCCAAGTGGCCTTATTTCTTGGCAGGAGTAGACTAGAATCTGAAGGCAAGTTATGATCCTGAGTCAAGGCACCAAACTGTCAAAGACAAAAAACAGACAAGTTAGGAGATTAATATTATCGAGACTGTCGCTGTAGGGAGCTCACCCACAATCTGAAGTTCTTCAGATTGGTCTCGGCTTTTATAGGAAAAAGTGATGAAAGATGACGCAAATTGTGGTGTACTGTGTGATTAAACTGGAAACAGCATTAGTCATCTAGGAAGGAAGTGGTTTTTTGAGCTAGCTTAAGCTTATGAAATTTCAATTGCAGATAGTCAGGCATGCAATAAAGAACAGGAAGCTGAAGTGTCTGTTTTTTGCCTTATTAGGAGATTCAGGCAAGGGGGAAGTTACTGTCACATGAGAACAAAGATCGTTTAGGAAAGAGTTTAAAGCAGAAGTGACAACAAAAATGATGATCTCATCTAGGCTAGTGTCTAGACCAAGCATGTCAAACTTCTGGCCCTCAGGCTGCATGCAGTCTACAACAAATATTTTTGTGGTTCAGCCAATGTAACAGTATGTAGGAAATCCTATGTAATAAAAGAGTAATATGCAAGTTGACCTATTTCTGCTACATCCATAAGCCACGCCCACCAGCCAATCAGGAGCAAATATGTAAATAAATCCAACCAAGATGGCTGAGGCCTCTGTGAGCAGGAGAGAGGCTTAGGTTTCCCTGGGAATGGAGGAAGCCAAGCTTTCCCTCTGCCCTTGAGGGCCCAGGCCTCCACTTAAAACTACAAAGTTTCAATTGTAGAACATAAATAAATATCAGATACTAGGGCCTCCTCTTGGGTCACTAGGGGGTGTGGCTGGCCTTCAAACCACCACAGGCCCCTCACCCAGGCCGCACCATGCCCCAAGGGATCCCACACCCTGATCTGGGACACCCTTCAGGGCAAACCAGCTGGCCCCACCCATGCACCAGGCTTCTATCCTATCTAATAAAAGAATAATATGCAGATTGACCATAACTTCAACACACAAGATGGCTGCCCCCATGTGGTCAAAGATCCTGTCCCCATGTGGACACAAGATGGCCAGCAGAGGAGGGCAGTTGGAAAGGACCAGGCCTACAAGGGAGGGAAGTTGTGGGTGATCAGGCCAGCAGGGGAGGGCAATTAGGAGGGACCAGGTCTGCAAGGGAGGGAAGTTGGGGGCGACCAGGCCTGCAGGGAAGGGCAGTTGGGAAGGGACCCAGGCTTGCAGGGAAGAGCAGTTGGAGGGGACTAGACCTGCAAGGGAGGACAGTTAAGGGCAAATAGTCTGGCAGGGGATCAGTTAGGCATCAATCAGGCTGGCAGGGGAGTGGTTAGGGGATGATCAGGCTGGCAGGCAGAAGCAGTTAGGGGCAATCTGGAAGGCAGGCAAGGCAAGTGAACAGTTGGGAGCCAGCAGTCCTGGATTGTGAGAGGGATGTCTGACTGCCCATTTAGGCCTGATCCCAGTGGGGTCCCAAATTGGAGAGGGTGCAGGCTGAATTGAGGGACACGCCCCCTCCCTGTGCATGAATTTTGTGCACTGGGCCTCTAGTGTTTTAATAAAAATTTCATAACTTAATTTTTACACTATCCTGTTACACATAACTGGTGGCCTGGTGCACAGACTCGTGCACATTGAAAGGAAATTAATTAGAAGAAAGATTCACCCAGTAATTATGATACAGCTGAGAGCTGATACTGCTATGTTGTAAGGACTAAGAGCTCATAGAGAGCTCAGATATAACTACCATGTTAACCAGCCAGAGACTACTCCGAGGTAGTCACTATGTGAGACTACAGAGACCAACCTGTGAGCTGGGCAGAGCAGACAGGAGAAGCTGCTGAGCCAGAGAGCTCATATACTGTTATGATGTTGGGTAGTGAGGCTAGGAGCAGCATGCAGTGGCTCAGATACTAACCATGGGTACAGAGACTATTACTAATTCTTTATAAAGATGTATATTGTTCACCAGCCAGAGTGTGGCTACCTTTATGGAACACCACTGTAAAGAACTGTTTTGTCTGATGGCTATATGGCCACTGGCTTCTGCACTAAAGACTCATTCTTATACACCCACAACCTCTCATGGCATCTTTGTCTAAGACCCGGTGACCAAGGAGGTCCAGCCCATGGCTCAACAGTTACTGTAGCAAGTAGGGTTCAAGAAGGAACCTACTCTGGGAAGAATTTAGAACAATATGTGAAATCTGAACGACTCAGAGCAACAGTGCTGAGCAGTGTCCTTGATGGCTCTGAGAGAGCATTGAACTTTCATTGTTTTATATTTTGTTCCTAAAAGTAGTCACTACTATAGCTTTCAAAGAGTAGAAAATATGTCACCTTCATCTTCATTTCCATAGTTCCCAGGCCACTGTTCTATGTGCTTTAAATGTGTTAACTCACTTAATCTTCACAATACATAAGGGAGGTTTTACTTTTAGCCTCAGTTATTTCATAGGTAAGGAGGTTACTGGCCCCAATCATGATTATATTCATGATGTCAGGTGGATGTGAAACTAGGTAGTCTGGCTCCAGAATCTATACTTTAAACGTCTGTACTGTACAAGAAAATAATTTAATTTTCTTCTTAACTCTAGGTTTAGTTTCAGAATAGATTTATATATTTTTAATTTCCTTTTTCTCTTTTTAAAAAAAATATGTTTTATTTATTTCAGAGAAAATGGGAGAGGGAGAGAGAAATAGAAACATCAATGATGAGAGAGAATCATTGATCAGCTGTCTCATGCATGTCCTCCACCAGTCATCAAGCCCACACACTGAGCATGTGCCCTGACAGGGAATCAAGCCATTACCTCCTG